GCCGAGCATGGCTCTGACGACACTATCCACGTTATATACTGAGGACAAAGAAACAGGTGAACTCTACTATCCCGCTAAGTTCCAATAGGCAAAGGCAACATTATCATTCACAACTAATACCAAGAAATAAATAAAAAAACTGGCATGTCTAGAACCCACGCCACCCGCATAGTAACCTAATGTGCTAACCTCTTAGCTATCTAGGCTCGTACTCTACAGACGTTAATAACTTATATATTTTACTTCTAAGCGGCGTAACAATCTACGCGAATCAGCCCTCGAGTTTTAGTAGTACATAGATTATAATTATCTTTAAAATTGCAACTGTTACATTTTTAACGACACTTCTGTAATAGGAATATTAAAAGTGAATTTTTACTTTGATCATCCTGTGGGGATTCACATTTTATCAAGTCTTGTAGTGTTATATATATATATATATATATATATATATATATATATATATATATATATATATATATATATATATATATATACTAGCCGTCCCGGCCAGGCCCTGCTCTGGCTTCTGTGAAAAACCTTTCTGTTAAAGACCATTACCTGTGTGTTTAGTAATCATCATAAACCCGGCATTGCCCACCCAAACCACAACCAACCAAAACAACAAAACGCAAACATAAAGCTAACACAATTACAAATACAAACGAAAACAAAAACCTAACAACAAACACAACTACAACCACTAACACCAATACAAACACAAAGAAAAAACAAACAAAAAAGCAAACGAAAACAAAAACCTAACAACAAACCCAACCACAAACACCAATACCAACAAAAAAAAAAAAACAACGAAAAAGCAAACGAAAACAAACCAAATCCAAACGCAAAACCAACCAAAAACACAAATACAAACCCAAACAAAAAAAACACAAACAAAAACGAAAAAAGAAAGAACAAAAACGAACCAAATCAAAACGCAACCACTAACGCAAACCCACCTAAACACAAAGAAAACACTAACGCGAACATAAACGCCCGGGGCGGAATCACCTGTTTTAGCTTAATGAACGACTATAGTACCCCAACTTATTCACAGTCTTTTGCACTCACTTAAACGAACGCGCCTGTTTCAATTTAATAAACAATTTTAATACTCCAAGCTTATCCGTAAAATACCTACAACATTTGCACTTGATCAATCCCCGCTAATTATGTAATTATTTTTTTTCCCAACACCAAAACAAAGTAATTAAAAAGTAAATTATTTTCACGGAATGCAATGGGTTTATAAAGGGAAGTAATTGTGTTTTTCCTAATTTATCAAAGGGAAGTAAGTGCTATAGGACTAAATAAAGACATAATTAGAATTTTTGTAAAAGATGATATTTTTTTAAAAACTTGTGTTTAATGAACATGCCGACAATTATTACTAGAATTTGAAAAATGAAAATTATTTCCTAACACTTTCAATAGTAATTTTTTAGCTCATAAATTTAGACAAATGCGCACGCTAATTTTCTAACTTTTAAATTCGTACAATTCCAACGATATACAAATGCATTACATACAGAACTGAGCTTTATATATTAGATATATATATATATATATATATATATATATATATATATATATAAATAAATATATAAATATATATATATATATATATATATATATATATATATATATATATATATATATATATATATATATATATATATATATATATATATATATATATATATATATATATATATATATACTTTAAATTTAGCTTTTTAACACGTTTTTATTAACTCAGCTTCGCGTGTGTTTGTTGTTAAAATTGACATCGAAAATTAGCCCACTTCTGATTGCTCTATAGACCTGAAATTTGGCATGCATGCTACTTTCGCCTAACAATTTCAGATGCAATCATAAAAACTAGCAATTAGAGACCGTAATTAGCTTAATTTAATTACGCCCCAAGGACCATAAAATTGAGGACATGATTTCTAAAGATACCGACAAGACTGGAGGCTTATCGACACAGTTACTTCGGCCCCAATCGATGTGAGCGCGCTGGCCGTGATCGTATAGTGGTTAGTACTTCTCGTTGTGGCCGCGACAACCCAGGTTCGAATCCTGGTCGCTCAAGATTTTTTTAGTCCGTGTATTTATAAACACTTAGTCAATTCATACTTAATCAAGTCATTAGATAAAGTAGAAAATAAACTATATAAAAAACTTTTTTAAAAACCACGTTTTTCATGTGTAGCAACGGACTAAAAAGGAGAAAATAAAATACTTAAAAAAAACTTTTTAAAAAACCACGTTTTTCTTGTGGACTAAAAAGTAGAAAATAAAATACTTAAAAAAAACTTTTTAAAAAACCACGTTTTTCTTGTGGACTAAAAAGTAGAAAATAACTATTTACATACATTTGATGACAAAAAACGTGGGTACGTTCACCATCAAATTTCCCGACCCATCTGCCCGACCCACGTTTTTTGTCATCAAATGTATGTAAATAGTTATTTTCTACTTTTTAGTCCACAAGAAAAACGTGGTTTTTTAAAAAGTTTTTTTTAAGTATTTTATTTTTATTATTCACATTTCGTCAACCCATTTTAGAGAAGTTTCTGCCTGTTTGCAACAAAAATAATATTCTTTGTTCAAAGATTTCAACATAAAATGATAACATATGTAATAACATATGTAACATATGTAATAAATTGTTGATTTTAGCTTTTTTGTCTGCTGACAAGGTTAGATTGAAGATTACGTTCCTATTAACGCATTTCTATACTAAAACATTGTATTTTTTGTATTAGCTATAAATTATTCACAATTAAATATTACCATATTTATTATGCTGTTTAAGATACATTTAGATTTCTGCATTCTCAGCTTTGTCACTTTGTAGTTATTAATAAAATAAATAGATTGTCTCTGAACCGTTTTCTGCATTTGTTTTAATATTTTCGTTAATTAAGATAGGGCAATGACAGGACAAATAATCTCAGACAAAATATCTCAATGATGAAATATCTCAGAGACAATTTATCTCAAAGACAAAAATATCTCAATGACAAAATACCTAAGAGACAAATTATCTTAAAGACAAAATACCTCATACAGGAAAGATCTCAAGACAAATAACATTAGACACAATATTCTAAACAAAATAGCTCAAAGACAAAAGATCTCACGGAATAAAGATTTCGAATACACAATAATTTCACACAATATGATACTCGCACTGTTCGATGATATAAACACTGTGTGATGATAAAAGCACTATGTGATGATACAAGCACTGTGTGGTGATACTAGCACTATATGATTATACGAGCATTATGTGATGATACAAGCACTATGTGATGATACAAGCACTGTGTGATTATACAAGCACTGTGTGATGATACAAGCACAGTGTAATAAAACAAGAAATGTCTAATGATACAAGATCTGTGATGATACAAGCACTGTGTGATGATACAAGAACTGTGTGATGATACAAGCACTGTGTGATGATACAAGCACTGTGTAATAAAACAAGCAATGTCTAATGATACAAGATCTGTGATGATACAAGCACTATGTGATGATACAAGCACTGTGTGATGATACAAGCACTATGTGATGATACAAGCACTGTGTGATTATACAAGCACTGTGTGATGATACAAGCACTGTGTAATAAAACAAGCAATGTCTAATGATACAAGATCTGTGATGATACAAGCACTGTGTGATGATACAAGAACTGTGTGATGATACAAGCACTGTGAGATGATACAAGCACTGTGTAATAAAACAAGCAATGTCTAATGATACAAGATCTGTGATGATACAAGCACTGTGTGATGATACAAGCACTATGTGATGATACGAGCATTATGTAATAAAACAAGCAATGTCTAATGATACAAGATCTGTGATGCTACAAGCACTGTGTGATGATACAAGCACTGTGTGATGATACAAGCACTGTGTGATGATACAAGCACTGTGTAATAAAACAAGAAATGTCTAATGATACAAGATCTGTGATGATACAAGAACTGTGTGATGATACAAGCACTGTGTGATGATACAAGCTCTGTGTGATGATACAAGCACTGTGTAATAAAACAAGCAATGTCTAATGATACAAGATCTGTGATGATACAAGCACTGTGTGATGATACAAGCTCTGTGTGATGATACAAGCACTGTGTGATGATACAAGCACTGTGTGATGATACAAGCACTGTGTAATAAAACAAGCAATGTCTAATGATACAAGATCTGTGATGATACAAGCACTGTGTGATGATACAAGCACTGTGTGATGATACAAGCACTGTGTGATGATACAAGCACTGTGTAATAAAACAAGCAATGTCTAATGATACAAGATCTGTGATGATACAAGCACTGTGTGATGATACAAGAACTGTGTGATGATACAAGAACTGTGTGATGATACAAGCACTGTGTGATGATACAAGCACTGTGTGATAAAACAAGCAATGTCTAATGATACAAGATCTGTGATGATACAAGCACTGTGTGATGATACAAGCATTGTGTGATGATACAAGCACTGTGTGATGATACAACCAATGTGTGATGATACAAGAACTGTGTGATGATACAAGATCTGCGATGATACAAGCACTGTGTGATGATACAAGCACTATGTGATGATAAAAGCATTGTGTGATGATACAAGAACTGTGTGATGATACAAGATCTGCGATGATACAAGCACTGTACAAGATCTATGTTGATACAAAGTACTGAGAACAAGAAAGTTAAGACAACTAAAACTATTTAACATAGAACAAAGGCATAATTCAAACATTTTTAAAAATTAGTAGTCTTTTTAAAATAATAAAATTCGTTATTTTATTTCTTTAATTAAGATTTAATATTTTCAGTTTTTAAACTAAATTAAAATGGTAAATTTTTAACAGAATGCATAAAATATAAAACACATAAAAACTGAAAACAAGAGAAGTCAACAATGATTACATACATTAAAGTAAAAGATAGACAATACTGATTTTTTATTGCAATCACAGAAGTTTATTTCGGTTTTACTGTAAATTTCCTTTCAACATTAGCTCAGTTTTACACTATAAATACAATATAAAGTACATTTTTAGCTATTCGTTTCTTTGCATCTACAAATTCATAAAATGTAAGCAATTAAAATATAGCTGTTAATTTTAACTTACAGGTGCGAATTTTCAATTTTAACTTTACTTGTTACTTCAAAATTAAATGGGTAAGTAAAATAAAAAAAAAATTAAATGAACTAAACAAGATGTTTTTTTAATTTGTTTTAAATATTGTTTTAGTTCGTAACATTACAAATTCATTTCCTGTCATTGAAATGTGAATTTTCAACAACCCATTCCACAAAAGTTGCTTTTATATTAATTAATACATGAAATACTGCATGTATGTATTTAACATCTTAAACTAATATTTATATACGCATTTTTGCAATCGAGTTTTAAAAACTAGATATCGTTTATAACTCAGCGTTGTCTGTGCAAACTTCACGGACATGAAGCTCTTCTCAAAATTAGGATTAACCGATAAATTTAGCCAGAGCAACTGAAACCACAGCTCCAGTTGCGATGATCCATCCTGTAAAATATGTAAACATAGCAATTTATAAATAGGCCCGAACTAGGGTTTTACTCGATAATGTCTTTTCGAGAAAAATCCAAATTGTTCGCCCAAAGTATTTTTTTTTTGGCAATCGCCAAAAAGCGATTAGTGCAAAGGAACAATACTCGGAAAAATAATATAAATACATTTTTAATTTAATACAACATGACATAGAGTTCTTTGTTTCTTTTCATTAATGAAAATAATTTTTTTCGCAAGCGTAACTTTATTTTGAACAGTTTTTTTTTGCTTTTAGAATAGTTTTTAAGCATTTAAAACTGGATATTTTTTAAAAGATCAGAAAAATACATTTGTAATTAAGTTTTCAAAAAAAAAAGTTTGCCTTTGAGACTGTATGATACATACAATATGATCATCATTATATAATTAACGATTCTGAATTTATAATTTTTTTCTATTCTTTATTTACAATCAATTGTAGCTAGTTTATTTAAAACTTTTATTTGCTAAATTCAGTTAATTATTGATTTTATCACATCGATCTTCATGTATAGAAAATGGCTCAACGTTTGATTCAATCTGTGTGCTTATAAAGCAAGATTATAAAGTAAGATTATAAAGCAAGATTATAAAGCAAGATTATAAAGCAATATTATAAATCAAGGTTATAAATCAAAATTATAAATGAAGATTATCAGCAAGATTATAAAGCAGGAATATAGAGCAAGATTATAAAGCAAGAATATTTTTCGGAAGCTCAAGTTAAGATTATGTTTACTGCACATTTTTATTGTCGATCTTCTAGTATGTACTATGAAATTACCGGCATATATAACACGGCGCAAACCGATTTCAATACAAGGACCTGCCTCTCTAGATATAACCGAACACCTACAGTTTTGTAGGCTTATAATCAAAGCAGATTTGATGCGAGATTTTTTTCGAGTGCTGACTGTGGGATCTCAATAAGGCTTGCCGGTCTCGTGTTCTCTCGCTAAAAATTCGAAGTCACGTTGGCCAGGGAGACATAACTTTTCAAACTAAAATAATAATTGTGAACATGTTTCCCATTGATAACAAAGACATTGCTCCTTTTTTTCTACGCCTCGCTTCAAGAGTGTTCAAAATGCAACAATTATAAACATTTTACTAAGAAAAAGTCAAAATAAAGTACGGGTAAGCTTAGGTCAGGGGTCGGCAAACTTTTGGGACGGAAGAGCCAAAAGTTACAATTTACCACATTTCACAGTTTTTAAAGAGCCACAATCATTTTTATTTCAATATTATATTTGATTAAGTATATATATATATATATATATATATATATATATATATATATATATATATATATATATATATATATATATATATATATATATATATATATATATATATATATATATATATGGGAACAGGGCATTTCCCCCTGTCAATTACCCCCCGGAATTCCCCCCCCCCGACATTACCCCCCAGAGTAATTACCCCCCCCCCCCCCAGTAGGACATAACCCCCCGGACAGGGTTAGAGTTAGGGCTAGGGCTAGGGCTAGGGCTAGGGCTAGGGCTAGGGCTAGGGCTAGGGCTAGGGCTAGGGCTAGGGCTAGGGCTAGGGCTAGGGCTAGGGCTGGGGCTAGGGCTAGGGCTAGGGCTAGGGCTAGGGCTAGGGCTAGGGCTAGGGCTATTGCTAGGGTTAGGGCTAGGGCTATTGCTAGGGTTAGGGTTAGGTTTTAGGCCTAGGGTTAGCGTTAAGGTTAGGGCTAGGGCTAGGGTTAGTGTTAGGGTTAGGGTTAGGGTTAGGGTTAGGGCTAGGGCTATTGCTAGGGTTAGGGTTAGGGTTAGGTTTTAGGGTTAGGTTTTAGGGCTAGGGTTAGGGTTAGGGTTAGGGTTGTGTCTAGCGTTGGTTTTGGTTTTGTGTGAAGATTTAGCCTAA